CCTGTCCATCCCCTGCCAATATCGCCCGGCTCCTGTGTTTGGGCCTCACCCTATCCTAATATCTCTCGGATTGATGTAGGAAGTGTTCCCTTTACATCCTCTGGCTCAAATATCTCCACATTAACTAACATTGATTCCTGCCCCCCCCCCCCGCCGGGACGATCCTAGTTTGTGGAGGAGGATGGGCCCACAGCTTCCTGCCAGCTAACTGGACGGGCCTTTGTGCCCTCGCCGTCTTGTTTCCGGACATAGACATTATACCGGGCCGTGAGCCCCTCCCTATTCCTTCCTTTGATTATATAGGAGGTAGGAGCAAAAGAGCAATTCAGATGATCCCCCTATTGGTGGGCTTAGGAATAACTGCGGGGATAACCACAGGGGCCGCAGGATTGGGAGTGGCCACTCATATGCACAGGAAACTCTCCCTGCAATTAATCCATGATGTACAACTTCTCTCTGATACCATCCTAGACATCCAAAAACAATTACATTCCCTGGCTGAGGTGGTCTTACAAAATAGGAGGTGACTAGACTTGCTAACTGCCGAAAAGGGAGGGATATGCTTATTTTTACAGGAGAAATGCTGCTTTTATGCCAACAAATCTGGAATCATCCAAGATAAGATTAAAAAGCTCCAGGAAGATCTAGAAGAGAGGTGAGAGCTCCAGGAGAGTCCACTCTGGACCGGTCTACATGGCTTTCTACGCTATCTCCTCCCCCTACCTGGCTCCATTTCTGTGTTCCTCCTTGCCAGGCAATAAACCTACACCAGGAGGAGATACATTATCAGAGATTAGCCCAGTCGGCCAATGAGCCATGTGAACCTTCCCTCCAGGAACTCTGTCAAGAGGCCCTGCCCCTCGAGAGTCTTGAGTCCAATGACAGGTAAGATCCCTCCCAGGCTGATGAACCTAAGACGGGCCGTGAAAGAGTATCATGGTTACCCGAGGACGGGCAACTTCAGAACCTGAGGAGGGACAACCTAAAACAGGACTCGAGACCCAGTCTTTCAGCTGAGCCCCATGTTACTCAATGACGGGTAAGATCTCCAAATGGAGACAACCTAAGACAGAGAACATGGCTGATATAAAAACAAAAGGGGGAGATGTCGGGGCCGCCTTTGTGCAGCGGCACCCTCAGCCTATGAGTTCCGGAGCACTTCCGCAGCCTGACCTAGAGTTGGCCCACCTGTCTGGTCACTTTCAGTTCTCGCCAAGATGGCGCCCAGTGCAGGTCAACGGGGAGGGATGGGAGAACTCATCACTGGCATAAGATTGGCTCCACCTGGTCCTCCCTCATTCCTGGTGTGCAGGGGGAGTGGCCCCTCAGCCCATAGGTCCGCAACACCAAAAGTGACTGTCACTCACGGCGGAAACTTCCCACCATGAGACTTTGCCTTTAAATACCTGTGCCTGCTATAATAAAGTGTGTTCCTGCTCTGACTCGGCACCCGGCTCTGTGTGTTTCTTTTGAGTCGTACACTCATCATCCCACTCAGCCCCAAAAGGAAACGGATTATCGGCTGGTTCTGAGGATTCCTTTCCCCCCTCCCTGCATGTCGGAACCCAACAAGGGGAAAGTAGTTTTAACACAATATCATAGTGCTGCTGGGTGTGGTTGTTCACATCTTTAATCCGAGCACTCTGGAGGCAGAGGCAGCCTGGTCTACATGGTGAGTTCCAGGATAGCTGGGGCTACAGGGAGATCCTGTCTCAGAAACACCAAAAAAAAAAAAAAAAAAAAACATTGTGCTAAAGACAGACCGCGTGTGTGTGTGTGTGTGTGTGTGTGTGTGTGTGTGTGTACACGTGTGTGCTTGTGCCTGTGGAGGCCAGAGGTCGATGTTGATGTCTTCCTCACTCTCCACCTAATTTTTTGAAACAGTCTTGGACTGAATCCATTCAGCTAGACTGGCTGCCCAGTGAACTCCAGGAATCCACCTGTCCTTCTCTTCCCTTTCCAGCACTGCAGTTATACAGGTGCATGCCGCTCGGTGCTGGGAATTAAAACTTTGGTCTTCATGCTTGCACATCAAGCACTTTAGCCACTGAGCCATATTTCCAGTTCCCATCCCCCCCTTTTGATGATTTTTAATTCCTTCCAGGTTGCTATGAAATTCTAGTATTTTATTATCTTTATTTCTTATCAGGTTCCTCTTCTAAAATCTTTAAGTATTTCTAGGCTAATAGTTTGCACAAATTGCAAATTTTTGAAGGGCATTTTATGCCTGACAGGTATTCCTTCATTAGTATTGTTATTTGATAAGTAGTATGTCATTCATTTAAACTTTTTTTTTTTTTTTTTGGTCTTTTTGAGACAGGGTCTCCCTGTAGCCCCAGCTGTCCTGGAACTCACTATGTAGACCAGGCTGGCCTTGAACTCACAGAGATCTGCCTGCCTCTGCCTCACAAGTGCTGGGACTACAGGCATGTGCCATCATGCCTGGCTGCTCATTTAATTTTTATAGTCCTCTTTTTTCCAACGTTTCTCCTTGGTTTTTAGGGGGCTGGAGAGATGGCTCAGCGGTTAAGAACACTGGTTGTTTTTGCAGAAGACCTGAGTTAGAATCCCAGCACCCACATGGCAGTTAACAATTGTCTGTAACTCCAGTTCCAGGGGTCTGACAGCCTCTTATGTCCTCCGTGGGCATTGCACGACATGGGTGCACTTACCTACATGCGAGCAATACACATACACATAAAATAAAAATAATAACTAAAAAAAATTTTTTTAAAGTAGGTATTTGCGTGTGTGTGTGTGTGTGTGTGTGTGTGTGTATTAAATACATTTGCCAAGCTCCCTTGAGTTGCTTGGTATTCTTAACCACTGGAGACAGATCATGGAAGAGTGGGCCATTTTCCTGCATACCTGGAAGCCTGCTGAATGGGGTTGGTCTGCTGAGAAGCAGCCTGGTGGCAAGCCAGCCCTTGGAAGTTATAGAGTCTGGCTTAATTTGGGGCTTCACTTTGGAACCTTGTTTTTTCTCTTTGTGTTACTATATAAAACAACTAGAAGTTATTTACGACTCTGTAACTTAATTTGAGTTATGGGAGGTGACTTTCTTACAGATGTATCCTCTGTAAGCTTTATATTTGCCAGATAGCCAAATTTTAGTGGTGGGTCTTGTTAGGGCCTTGTGGATCTTGTTTTCTGCCTGTGGTAACAGCATACCAATTCTCTCTAATGACTTGTGTGTCCTGCTCTGGATTGGCCAAGGATTTTGCACATGAGTCAATCCAGGCTTACTAGATACGTTAGAAAGAATAATGAAATAGAAATAAAATAATAGTAGAATGTTTTATTAATGCATCAAGTAAGAAGGGTAACAGATGTGTCAGATTTAATGGTATCAATGGTGTTTTCACCTCATTCATAGTGGGCATTTCCTAACACCTCTCCAGTTTGGTAATTTGTTCACTCAGGACTCACTCAGTGTGGTTATAGGGTTACAACTATGCCTTGTTATGTCGGAAAGATGCAAAGCAGGACCAGAAGAAGGAAAGGTGCTGGGACAGTCTGGGGACAGGCCCATGCTTCTCCTAGTAGAGTCACATAAGCCTCAACTGGTTCCAGCAACACATTGTGACAGTGCAAGTGAAATGGTAGCTGGGGAAAGCTTGTTCATGGCACTCCATGCAGGGTTTATTGGTGACTCGTCACAAGGGTAACCTGTGCCCAGCATATATCCACCTTGTAGACTCTGAGAATGAAAGCAGGTGTTTTGTTTTGTTTTGTTTTGAAGCAACTTGTCTATACTTTTTTCTTTCATTGCTTTACTGTATGTTCTGTAGATGTTATATTTATCACTGTGTTGGCATCTTTCAGGCCTTTATGGTTTCTCTGATATCCTGGATGATCTTCCCAGCTTTTACTTGTTCATTCTGCTCCTGTCATGCTACCACGTACTACATGACTCAAACCAAATGGGAATTCTGTTGCTGAGTAACTACTTAAGACCTAGAGAGAAGACCTCTGGGCTCAGCGTTCCTCAGGGTGTGGGGTGCTGGAGAGCTTCTTAAAGCAGCAGTTGTTGTTTTTCTCCCTCAGACTTACTAATTCAAGCTGTGGATTGGGGCCTGAAAATTTGTGCTTTGAACAAATTTCCAGGTGGTGCTAATGCTTTTGGTCCCACTTTGAGAACTGCTTTTTGGTTTATAATTACTAAGTTACACTAACAACACATCCTGCAAAGTTCTGGAACATAAGCATACTTAATGCAGTACTTTTGGGGAAAAAAAGGAGCAGTTTTACCATTGGCAACTCCTGTGTATTGTGCAGTGAACATTGTTCATCCTCATGATGGATGTGGTTACAGGATGCTCATGTAGTTTAGCCCAAGAAATTTTTTTTTTTTTTTTTTTTTTTTTTGTCTGAGACAGGGTCTCCCTGTAGCCCCAGCTGTCCTGGAACTCACTATGTAGACCAGGCTGGCCTCAAACTCACAAAGATCTGCCTGCCTCTGCCTCCCAAGTGCTGGGATTAAAGGCGTGTGCCACCATGCCCGGCTGAAATATTTTTTAAAATGTTTTATTTATTATTTTTATTTTATGTGTATTCGTGTATTGCCTGCATGTATGGAAGTGCACTTGTGCTGTGCAGTGCCTGCAGAGGTCAGAAGAGGACGTTGGATCCCCTAGAACTGGAGTTATGGACAGTTGTTAGCTGCCATGTGGGTACTGGGATCTGAACCCGGGTCTTCTGCAAGAACATTCAGTGTTCTTAACTGCTGAGCCATCTAACCAGCCCCTAGCCCAAGAAATATTTAAAAATTCATTTATATTTTAAGGACTGAAAGCAGCTTTATTAGGAAGGTGAAAAATGACTGTGCCAGCTTGAACATAGGTTGCAGCAGCAGAAGAAAGCACTTGAGATTCCTGATGTCCTCCAGCACCTACTTCATTTATATGCATCATGTTCTTTCTGTAAATCTGAAAAGATAAATGGCCACCTGTACTTCTGAGTTAGGGTTTTTCCCTTTCCCATGCACAGAAACCATGATAATTCCTTAGACAATTCCTCCTAGAACAAATGTTTTTCTCTCAGCCAGCCCCAGTGGGTTCACCTTACAAGCTCTGGGGCTTAAACAGGAAGAAAGATGTGGGAGAGGTGTATTTATTAGTGAAGACCCATCCACTCATCTCTCCTTCCTCCCCTCCTTCCCTCCTTCATTCCTTTTTGTTGGTTTATTTTTATTTTTATTTTTTCGTGTATGAGTGTATGAGGACTTGTCTTCATTTTCTTTTCTTTCCTAGTTTTAGCCTGTATATTTGTTTTTGGGTCAGGGTCTCCTCATGTAGCCCAGGCTAGTTTAGAACTCTATGGAGCCAGCTAAGGGTGACTTTAAACTCCTGATCCTCCTGCCTCCATCTCCCAAGGGCTGGGAGTACAGGTGTTCATCATGAGGCCCAGCTCTCCTTGTATACTTTAGAATGTTGATCGCTTGCTTTTGTTTGTACCTCAAGAGTGGTTCTTGCTGTCCCAAGGCACAAAAGTATGTGTATAGTTTTTCACATATTTACATCTCAATGTCTATTTCCATAGACATTTGTATTGAAAAACTATGTGAGTGTGTGTGTGTGTGTGCGTGTGTGTGCACGTGCATATATGTGTGTTTGTACATATGTGGCCACAGAGGCCAGAAGAAGGTATAAGATCCCTTGGAGCTGAAGTTACAGATAATTGCAAGTCACTCTATGTGGGTGTTAGTAACCAAACCCAGGTCCTCTGCAGGAACAGCTAATGCAGTCATCTCTACAAAGCATTCCTGTTTCTTTTTTTTATTTTTTCGTGTATGAGTGTATTGCCTGCATGTATGTAAGTGCACCCATGTTGTGAAATGCCCATGGAGGTCAGTAGAGGGTATCAGATTCCCCTGGAACTGGGGTTAGAAACAAATGTTAGCTGCTATGTGGGTTCTGGAACCAAACCCAGGTCCTCTATAAGAGCAGCCAGTGCTCTTAACTGTTGAGCCATCTTTCCAGGTCCTTATTTCTTTGTTTTTAAGATAAAGGAGTTCTGTGTTGTTGGGTGCTCAGTGAATCCTCCGATCACCTGAACTTGTCATCTCATTTGGGTAATCACAGTTCCCAGTACTCTTTCCAGCATTTTGGAGAAAATGGATTGTTAAGCAATATTCAGGATATTTATTTTTAAAGACTTCTTAACTTTTCAGCTTCTTGCTTGTGGAAGTGATGCCATAGAATGTTTTTCCTTACCTCAGTGGAAGTCCTAGGGAGGTAGCGCTTAGCTGGGGGCTAGGCAGTCAGGGGCAGGTTTGGTAATGAGATCCTGAATATATTCTGACTCCACATGATCAAATAAGCCACTTAGTAAACTGGTTTTATTGGTGTAAGCTTTTTGGTTTTTGATGATTCTGGGGGTAGAATCCAGGGCCTTGAGCATGACCAGCATGTGAGCTACACGCCAGCCCCTGACCCCTTTTAATCCCAGGACTGATGATGAACAGTATAATAATATTACCTGTGCTATTTGAATATCTCAAGATTGAGTGTGTTTATACTTGGCACAGTGAAAGGAAGCAAGATGGAATGTCTGTTGTGAACTGAGGCACGTAGCATCACCCTTCCTATTTGCCATTACTAATGATGTTTGTTTGTTTGCATTGTGCAGTAGAAATGAGTAGTCCTCAAAATTTGATGTTGGCTCTGACAATAACAGTAATTTCTAGTGACTCAGCATCAGTGTGATCAAGTGTTAGACTAGGTAGGTACCCATGGAGGGAAGTTCTGAAAGTCTGTAGGAGGACAACCAGGAAAACCTAAAACAGACAAAATGCATGAAAGAAAATGAGGCCCAAACAGCCTCACTGCCATTTTGGTTTTAGTTTCACTGTTCATCTTGTGCTGTACACTGGTACCCTGTGATGTAATAAAGGATTTCTTTTGATGGGATAGGCCAGAAAGTTCTGGTCAGTTACATTGATAGAACTGCAGTACAAATTGAGCCCATGTAGATAGCAAAAACTGTATGTTGCTTAAAATTTTTTTTTGATTTACTTATTTTATAATTTGATGTGTATGTGTGCATGTACCTTTACGTATGTAAGTGCACCAGCACATGCAATGCCCATGGAGACCAGAAGAGTGTGTTGGATCCTTTGGAACTGGAGTTAATGTTAGATTATTAGCCGCCATGTGGATGCTGAAGACAGAATCTAGGTCTTTTGCAAGAGCAGCCAGTGCTCCTAACCCCTGAGCTGATTAGCCCCTGTATGCTATTTTTCATTCTTCAGAATAATTATTCTCCCAAGTATCTGCCTTGGTGTTACAGTAAAACACAGTGTGGTTTCCTGTACTTAGATAGGTTGGTAATTGTTTATTCAGTTCCTTGAAAAAAGCATAGTTAGTGATTTCATAGACTAAGAGCTTATTTAAATTTTGGATAAAATTGAAATTGTATTTTCAGGATAATCCTCCAAAATTTTAGGTCAACAATTTTGAAGTTTCAAACTTGAGATTATTCATTCATATGAAGACTTTTGCAACCCCTTTCAGTACCCTTATCTGCTCCATCCAAATTATGCTAGCTGGAATATGTAGTATTAAATCTGCTCAGTTTTCTCACTGTCACATACTTTAGAGACCTGTGTTCAAAAAACTGTCTTTTACCTTTAAGTATTAGTTTGGGGGAAAGGGATCATTCTCCCCAACCAAATCAGTTTTGTCAACACAAATTATACACACACACACACACACACACACGTATTTTTCTTGGTACCTATCCTGGCACAGAATAGTTTTGATTGATGGATTTATCAACTCATTAACTTAGCTAGTATTAATGGAGCAGTTGCTGTTTTTTCATTATTTCTGCCTAATGTTCTATTTTTCTTGCGATTTAGTTGAAGGCTTATTAAGTGGTTTTATGGTACATGGTCTTGGTACCATAAAAGAGGGCATTGGATTCCCCTGGACCTGGATAAGGATGGTTCGTAGTCGCCATGTAGGTGCTGGGAATCGAACCCAGGTTCTCTGCAAGAGCAATCAGTGCTTTTAACTGCTGAGCCATCTCTCCAGCCCCTTAAATTTATTTTTATATATTTTTTGTTTTTCTTGAGACAGGGTCTCTCTGTAACCCCAGCTGGTCTGGAACTTGCTATGTAGACCAGGCTTTCTTTGATCTCACAGAGGTCCTCCTGCCTCTGCTGAGGTTAAAGGCATAGGCTACCACACCCCGTTTAATCTTTATTTTTATTTCATGTATGTGAGCGTTATGCCTATTTGTGTGTAAGTGCACCCTGTTGTGCAGTTGCCTCCAAGACTAGAAGAAGGTGTTTGATCCCCCGGAACTGGAATTAGGGATGGTTGTCAGCCACCATGTGGGTGCTGGGATTCGAACCTGGGTTTTCTGCAAGAGCAGCCAGTGCTTATAACTTCTGAGCCATCTCTCCAATCGGGGCATACATGTTTTAACTCAATGCTCTGCTCTTGACTGTGTATGCAATGTGACGAGTTCTCTCAAGCTTTTGCTGCTGTGACTTCCTCACAAGGATGAACTGTACCCAGGAATTGTGAGCCAAATAAACCCTTTCTCATTACAGTTGATTTTGCCAGGGTGTTTTATCACAGCAACAGAAAAGAAGCTAAGACAATTTCCAAAAGTCTTCCTACAGTAGAACTCTGAAATAGAATAAATTCTATAACTTAGAATATTTGTTATATACTTTGTGGGTCATTTTTTGTTTTTTGGTTCCTAGACCAGGTAATCAATAGATTTTCAAGTACTCAAACATTGATGTCTTTATTGATGGCTTCTTTTAAGGTCATATTCTTTGGGTAGTGAAATAGGATAAACACTTGGTTGCATTTTTGTTTGTTTCTGTTTTTAGGGCTGGGGATTGAACCCAGGGCCTTGTATATGCTAAGCAAGTCTGCTGCTACTGAGGTGTATCCTTAGATCTTGGAGAGAATCTTTAAGGAATTATTTTATCTATCTATCTATCTATCTATCTATCTATCTATCTATCTATCTATCATTTATTTTTGGTCTTTTTGAGATAGGGTCTCCCTGTAGCCCCCGCTGGACTGCTATGTTGACCAGATTGACCTTGAACGCACAGAGATCCACCTGCCTCTGCCTCCTGAGTGCTGGGATCAAAGGCGTGCACCACCACACCCATAAGGAATTATTTTTAAGTCAAAGAAATTCTTAGAACTGTTCCTTTGGTGGATGTTTGATGACTTGTAATTTTGTCATGTTCTCCTTGATGCCTTCATTTGTGCAGGTAGATAGGAAGATGCCCAGGGCAGTTTAGGCCATCACAGTGCTTGTTGTGCTTTGTCTGTGCTTCCTGGTCCTTGAACTGGTTCTACCACTAGACTCTTCTGATTTCTACATCATTAAGGTTTAAATATGTTCTGAGTGTTACTCAGAAGCTGATTCTAGAGCTGGAGAGATGACTTCACAGTTAAGAGCACTGGCTGCTTTTGCACAGGACCCAGGTTTGGTTCCCTGCTCCTACCTGGTGGCTAAGAACAAGTTCCAGGGGTATCCAATGCCTTCTCACTTTCTTAGGCATTGCATACCTGGTGCACTTACATACATGCAGGCAAAACATTTATGCACATAAAATAAAAATAAAAGCCGGGCTTGGTGGCCCACATCTTTAATCCCAGCACTGGGAGGCAGAGGCAGGTGGATCTCTGTGAGTTCAAGGCCAGCCTGGTCTATGTAGTGAGTTCCAGGAGAGCTGGGACTGCAGGGAGACCCTGTCTCAAAAAGACCAAAAACAAAACAAAACAAAACAAAACAAAAACAAAAAAATCCCCCAGCATTTAAAAAGCTGAATCCTTTGCATTTGAACAAAGCTTTGACTTCACGATTTCTTCTGAGGACAAAGTAAATTGGCCACATTTGTTGTTAATGTGAGGAAGGTCCTTTGCTCTTGGGCACTTGGAACTATCTTTTGTTCTTGCTGGGATTGAACTCCTCCAATCCCTGGAGGATGTCTTGAATACAGTAGACATTTAAGAATGTCTGCTCAGTGTGTTTGTAGTAGCTTTTCTCGTTACTGTGACAAAATACCTGAAAAAAGTAACTTGAGGGGGGAAGGAGGATTTACTCTGACTCACCTTTTAAGAAGGGATACAGTCCATTAAGGC